TCAACCCTGAGCCGGTGAGATTTGAACAGCCGAACTGCAGAACTGCAGTCAGCTGAAGTAGCCTGCAGTGCTGCATTTAACCACTGCGCCACCTCAGCTACCTATGAAGTAGGTATGGTTTAATGTGTCATGGAATGCTTTACCTCACTGTTTCTTAGCCTTGGCTGCTTTAAGATTTCAAATTAAGACTTAAACTCCCATGATTCCTCAGCCAGCATAATGGCTGGGGGAGGGGGGTTATTGAGAGTTGCAGTCCACCCAACTTAAAACTGCCAACATTGAGAAACACTGATTTACCTGATTTAGTATTTAGATTTATTCTTCAGTTCTTGTTATTTATTGTATGTCTTTCAAGCGTAGGCCAAGAAGGACGGTTTGTGTAAGTTTTACTAAACAGTAGGATTAGACAAGAAATTGAATTAGAAATTGGTTAATGTTTTTGAGCATAATTACACACTGACCTTGGTGCTATTGAAAATTTTTTTTGGTTAGGGACCTTCTCAATAAATCTTCCAAAACTTTTAAATAAATAAATGGAAGACTGTAATGGCAAGATGCCCTAACCTTGGCAGTATTCAAAATCTAGGATATTTTTTTTGTTAAGGATAATGCATTATGTAGCATAATAAGATTTATCTCCATTACTTACTTTGCTTGTTAGAAAGACGTGACTTTTTGCAGTGGTAAGCAACCTCCTGTTCACATTGTTCTGCATGGTTAATTGTAGCCTGGAGCTGTTCTAGGCTGGCAGCATATTTGAAAAACACACTGTGAGGGTTCTCTCGATTAGCAGTTTTGACTCTGGTTAACTCGGTGTTGTTGTGTTGTATAATTGTCCAGGTGGTATCTTGAAAGACAAATGAAGAAGCACGTGGTAAACCAGGCATACATTCAATGGAAGTGAGCTAACAGTTAGGTAAAAATGCCTAATCTCACCTTGTAAGTGGGAAAAGAGAAGCATTTTGTAAAAAAAATATCCATCATATTCTGTACAGTATGAGGTAGTTGCTTCCTGTTTTCTCTTTTTCTCTTATTCATAAATATATTTTAGGATTGCCAAATCTAGCCTGTGAAAAGCCAGACAGCCACTTTTTGGCAGCAGGCTTCATTTTCTGCATCTCTTTGCAATGGTCTTAGTCAAGAATTGGTAGCCGAAGGTGATTTTGACATGTTACCTACACACAATGCCACAGCACAATGCATTGTAGAGAATACAGAATGTCCTTTAGTTTTGGGGTATTTTATTTCTGTTTTTTTTATTATTTGATCCTTCTTTGTCCTTTGTGAGTTCCAACTTGGTCTATCAACTAGATGAGTCCATTTGCTACATTTTTTTATAGGTGTAGTTTTTCTGAAGAAATGCAATTTGATATCCTACAATTAAGTTTTTTACTGTTTTAAACAGGGACACCTTGGCTTCAGCTTTTTTGTTTATGAAATTTAGGAATGTTTTGCAGAAAATAAACATTATTAAAGACATGTTAATCAGCTGTAGCAAGAATATATGATGAGGTGATTCATATCAATAATAAACATTAGTGATTTATTTGGTTATCTGGTTGTTTATACACTGGGTCAACATTCTACAGCTTAAGTGATACCTGTAACCCCATAGAAGCCTTATATTCATTTGTCACGTTTACTCAAAAAGTCAGTTCAGCTGAAGATAGCTGGGAAAGTTATGTAAACATGTTTAAACATTATATTATTCTTTACATGAAGGTTACACACTTTTAAAGAATGAGATTGAAAAGGGAAAAGCTTTTACGATTCTATTCACAAGCAAACTGGGACATAAGAACAATGCTTTCCATGCAAGGGTTGACATTGGATTGGAAGTTTTCGGCCTGAGGCTTATGATATTGAAAATGATTTCTCTGAATACCAGAGGATAATGAGACCTCCCTTTGCAACTGCCTGAGAAGAAAAGCTACATGAATATCTATGACAAGGGAGCAGCGTCAAAAGAATATGGGCATCTGTCTGCGTTGCCCCAGTGGGAAAAGGAAAGGAAGGCTGTGAGGAAACAGGAAGAAAACAAAAATGGAAGATTCACCCTGTCAGATAGCATTTCTTGATGGAGAACGGATCAATGGGATTTGCTTAACATACTGAATAAGGAGTGACTGAAAAGAACAGTGGCAGCTGTTCCTAGACATTCACAGATGACTCAAATTGCACTTCACTTCAACTATTTGATCCTTGAAGTGTTTAAATTAAAACCCTTTCCGGTCTTTGATTTGACCAAAAGATTAATGAGCAGTTGGGCTTCTATTTCCCTATAAGAGGTATGCCAGTAGTTCCAATCATTCATTACCATTGAATGAATGACTTTCAATATTAGCATTACAATAATATGCCTGGATTCTGAACATGGTGAGTTGCATTTTCCTTGCCAACAAAATTACCTGGTCAAGTTCTATCTAGATTTGTTGAAAGATATTTTTCAGAATTTCTAGAATTGCATAGGCATCAACATATCCTAGTTGTGAATGTTAACTTAAAACTTGCAGATGGCCATAACATAATAAACATATACATAATTCAAATATATGAATTATGTTAACCTGTTTTTAAAAATCCCCAGAGAAGCAATGCATCCGCTATTTTAATCTGAACTTTATGGTCACCACTAAGTTGCCCCCCTTTCCCTTCGCTTCAAGGCACAGTGGAGGAAAGTTTTGCCAATTGCGTTTTTATTATTTCTGCATTACTCCAAATAACGAATCCTAAGAAATAGGAGTCAAAAAGCAATACAAAAATTAGTATTTCACAGATTGATTGAAATGGTGGACGACTATAGTTGGACAAAGCAAACTGAAAATTTATGTAACTATATATTGATAGTGCTGGGTGATTTCAGATGTTGTATCCTACTCCAAGTTCTATATAATGCCAGCATCAAATCAGCAAAATCAGAAAGCAATTTGTG